CCTTAGGTGTATGTGGCTGGCGCCTTAGCCGCTTGAGCCACAGGCGCCGAGCCAGCAATATATTTTAAAAAGGAACATAATTCTGTTTTATCAAAATGATCTGATCTTTTTTTAAGGATAAACAAAATTTACTGGCATTAGCATTTACAATAAATCTTGTTTATTTCCTTTTTCTGAAACCAGAAACTTTCTGCAATAAATAAATTCAAACACCTTTCTTTACCACAGATCAGCCTTGACATTGTATAAAGAACACAACATAATCAATGGCACTTACTACGTATGTCAAGGTTAACATTAAGGTCAAAAAAAGTTTTCTAATCTAATGTTTATTAAAATAAAGCTGCTCTGGGAACTAATAAAAACTCTTTTTAGGCTCCAAGCCTGTCGCACAGTGGTTACAGCACCAACCACATACACCAAGGCTGGCAGGTTCCAACCAGGCCCCAGCCAGCTGGGCAACAATGACAACTCCAACCAAAAAATAGCCCGGCATTGTGGCGGGTGCCTGTAGATCCAGCTACTCGGGAGGCTAGGGCAAGAGAATGGCTTAAGCTCAGGAGTTGGAGGTTGCTGTGAGTTGTGACGCCCCAGCACTCTACCAAGGGCAACATAGTGAGACTCGCCCCGGCACTCTACCAAGGGCAACATAGTGAGACTCTGTCTTAAAAAAAACTCTCTTTCAACATCTTATTTTTGTTATTGTTATTGTTGTTTTTTGGTTGCAGTTTTTGGCCGGTGCCAGGTTTGAACCCTCCACCTCTGGCATACGGAGCCGGCGCCCTACTCCTTGAGCCACAGGCCACCCAACATCTTATGTTTTTAAGTACGTAAGATTTAGTTCTAAAAGGCCTAAAAATAAAATGTAGACACAACATTGTTCTAGCTAAATTAACTAAAAATAAATGTAATTTTAGATGTGATTCAGAATTTATAAAATTGAACTGAATTTATGTGCATGACATTGTGTTAATTTATTTGTATTACTAACAACTCTGCCTAGAATAATGTATTTCCTTTCTGCATTTAGATGTTTGCTAGACTTAAAACATCGAATGTCAAAAACTTTCACTTCCACTTCTGGATTATTTCACAGAGGTTTCATTTTTCATTCTCTACATTACCCAAATCCTTCAAGTTGCAAACAGCAGTAAAATTTATCTAAAAGAGTTTTTTTTTAAGTAACTTTCTTTTGTTTGTATTAAATATAAATATTTTGAAAGCATAAAATGATTTTTAATCATTTTATTATATAGTTTCTAAGAAAAACTATTTTAAGACACAGCATACTAGACACTAATGGGTTTACTGATTATCTTAAACACAGCTTTCTAAATGAATCAATATTTCATAATTTTACAAGTTATAGCTAATCACTACTAGGATGCAATGTACTACAGCGAATTCTAGACGTACATGGGTTCTGACCCTAAAAAAAATTTCAACATATACACAGATAGACACAAAGTCAACTTTTCTTTTTAAACTATCCCACAATTCAACATCCTGGTATAGCATTCTCTATAAATTATCCTACCAGGTTGGAATCATACAATTTTATTAGCTGATTGTTCTCAATGGTATGTTCTCTTTCACCAAGGATTACAAACACTTTGCTGCTACAAAGGGGGCGGGGGGAGGCCGCATTCTTTGACAATGAGAGGAACCATAATCTGATCCACTCCAGCTAATTACTAAATGTATGCCAACAATACATAATTCGAATTGCAATTCTGGACACTAAGAAAATCAGAAAAGGGAATGTCAAATTTGTAAGGAACTACTTTTGTATCAAAAGTATACCAAAATGAAGAAACATGATTTACTGAAACCAAGACAGCACTTTCAAAGGTACAAAATTCACCTGATTTAAGTAAGCTGTGGTAATTTACTAAAAAGAAAATGTTTAATCAACGTTGTTAAAATAACTAATTCATCCTATTCAAGACTAGAAATCCCGCCGACGTTCTTCTTTCAGATCTAAAAATCTCATTCTTTCGCAATCCAGATATCAATAGGATTCGAATCCTCTCCAGGAGGCGTGCAACACACTCAGGGAGTGCTGTCTGTTTACAAATAGGAACCTCACAGTTACCCACGTCAAAAGCGCGCATTACCACCTTTCGCCTGGGGGGCGGGGGTGAGAGAAGGCGGGCAAGCAAGAAACGAAATCACCACCGATACCGCTGTCTTTCCCCTTCAGAGAAACACTATGTATTACATGTGAGCTCAGAGAAAACATTTATTATGTACTACATGCGTGTGCTTCTATATCTAACCAAGGTTGAAAGAAAAGGCACGCATGACAGGGAATCGTACTGGACCCAAGAGAAAGCTCAAACTAATCCCGTTAACTCAAAACCCGCCTTACGGGTCTACAACAGGTTTCGAAGCGGGCCGGGAGCCCCAGCCACTGTGTGAAGTTCCTCCCCAAAGAGCCCCAATGTCCTCCTCAGGCCGCCCAGGCCGCCGTCCCTACCTCCCTCATCTCAGTCTTCCCCCCAGAACACCCGAAGCCCATTCCAGCAAAGAAAGAAGTGTCAGGCCCCGAGGGGGCGGCTGAGACGCGTGCAGGCCGGGCCCCCCACACCTGCGAGGCTCGGCACCTGAGGTGGGCGACCCGGGGGCCGCCCGGCCTTTCCGAGCACACCCCCTCCGCGCCAGGCGCTGCGCCGCAGCAGGAACCTCCGTACCTGCGAGGCCCGCGAGCTACAGGCGCGCGCGACGCCTCCTCATCTCAGTGGCTCCCGCACCCCCTCCGCCTTCCGCTGCTGCTGCTGCTGCCGCCGCCGCCGTCACCGCCGCAGCTGGAGGCCGGGACACTACGAGCTCAGGACTCCACCGCCATGTCCGCCGCGCCGCGAACTGCATTGTGGGGGGGAAGGGATGGGGAGGGGGTGGAGGGGGGAGGGAGAGAAAGAGGAGGACCGGCTGAGGGGAGGGGGCCGAGGGAGAGTGGGAGCCGTGGGCTGGGGGGAGGGGAAAGAAGGACGGAACCCAGGATGGGGGTCCGGGACTGGAGGGGAGGAGATAAACGGGAAGGAGACCCGGAGAGGAGCCGCAGAGGAAAGGGTTCTGAGGGCCCCCGGGTGCCGGTTAGACCGGGGCGGGGGAGGGGAGAAGGAAACACCACGGGGGGAGGGGGCTCGTGGTGGTCGCGAAGAAACAATGGGAAGCGGGCCGAGGTGGGAGGACCGCGCACTCACGCCCACGCCGAGGGAAGGGGAGCGCGCGGGAGGACACTCGTTAGCC